CTAAATGTTATTATAATATATTTTCATTGATTTGATTTGAATTATATAATATAATAATTAAACAATTATAAAACCATTATACCAACATTCGTGTTTTTCAAACAAAACATCCAAATCGTTCTTATCACATGGAAGACTTGATTGTTGGTGACTACAAGTGGAAAGCAATGGGCCCCATCAACAAAGAAAAGAAAAAGTTCAAAAGGAAGGTTGCAAAGGTGGGTGCTGACTATAAAGCAGAATTTTGTAATTCGACTGCTTCTGACTTGTTTTTTGGGTTTTTGACGAAAATTTAGTCGAAAAAATAACAGCATTTACCAACGCCAAATTATCAGAAAAAAAGGTAAACCCCAAATAACAAAAATAGACATTATACTATATTTCGGCATTTTACTATATATGGGAGCACACCACGACATAAAGAATCCAATTTCCGAACTTTGGAACGAAAAACACGGGAAACAAAATATTTATGGTAAAGCTATGCCCAGAAATGTTTTTCAACTTATCAATGCTAACATCGAGACTTACGATGTCACAACTCTTCCGGATGAAGTTGAGAAAGAAAGTTGTTTTATGGGTGATGAAGAAGAGAGTGAGGACAGTGCATCCGATGAAGAGGAAAATCCAGAGAATAAAGAAGAGACTGAAGAAGAAGACTATTTGAGTTGTGATGAGTGGGTCAAAAAAAACATCCTGTTGACCTGACCGAAGAGAAGCTAAAAAAGGATGTTGAAGTGAGACAAAAAGTAAATGATAAAGAGACTATAGAAAAGGGGTTAATCAAAGCATCAAACACGCCAAACTCAAATGACAAGTTTGGCAAAATTAGGGAAGTGTTGGAAGCTTTTATTCACAACTTAGTGAACAACAAATACTTTACACCAAGCACCACACTATCGGTTGATGAACACCTTTGCGCATTCAAGGGAAAGATATGGGCAAAGGTATTCATCAAGTCCAAACCTCAGCGTTACGGCATCAAGTTTTGGGTTTTTTTGTTGTAAGAATAATCAATGAAGTCGGAGATTCACGGTGTTGAGACATATACATCGGTAATTGACTTGTTGTTGATATTGTGTTTGATAATATGTTCAATAAATAACAAAAAGATGTGCCGTGTTTGTGAAAGTGGTATGGTTATAAACCTACAGATGTACTGTGGAAAGTGCGACAAGAAAAAAGAAAATCAAGGATTTCGGGTGACGATAGATATGGTGGCTCCACAATTGTGTATGGGAAAGTTTGTGACAGTTGTATGTGACAACTTTTTCTGCAGCTTAAGATTGGCACATTATTTGGCTCAATGTGGTTCAACATTGCTTGGAACTGTGCGAAAAAATAGAGTTGAGGTACCAGAAGAAGCCAAGCAAATCAAACGTTATGACCCCAATGATGATAAGAAGGCTACTACAAGAGAGGCAGATTCAAAGGAAGTGTACACAAAAGGTGTATGCAAATTGCTTTCTTACTAAAACGAAAAGAAAAAGTTGGTGCTTATTATGACGACGATGCATAATGCTAAAGAGTTGTACACCGT